TAATATAACAAACAGGAACACACGAGGTATAATTAGATGTAAATGTTGTTTGGCCTATCATCCCTTCAAAACTTCTTTAGGGTGAAATTCTTCTACTCTTTCTGGATGGAAAGATAAATGTCTTACGGCTTTTCTTATTCTTAGTTTTAAAATGTCTTTTTTAAAAGCCCTCTTTTTTCTTTAGGTTGTACCATGTGAAATTGCTCTATTTGTAGGTCAAAAAAAGATGAAACAATTTCATATAGTTCAACCTAAATTCAAACAAACTCAACAAGACAAAACATCAAAGTTGATTTGTAGTTAAACCCTCTCTCCTCCCCCTAGTAAGACTTATGGGAGGTGAGAGCATGTAGCTGAGGAAGGGTCATGACTGGCTGTTAACTATAATTTCTGACCATGCCAGCGTCTGGGGCAGGGAAGATGAATAAAGAGTATAGAAATGCTTTCCTGACCAGTGCTGTCCTAAGTTGGATCAGGTGCAAACAGCTCTGGACTTTCTGGTGGGCTCTTTGGAGATCTCCCTGCACCTGTATCTTTGCCCGAGTGAATGCATTTCACTACGTGGTCCTTAGGACTCAGGATATCATTGGCTTTTCTGTGCAGAGGCCTTTACTCACTTCCAAGAGATTCTATAGGCAGGACCTAACAGATCTGCATGATGATCCATGGGAAACACATACATTCTTCATACTGACGACCCTGGGAGTGAGGCCAGTCTGAGTGCTCTGACGCACCTGTCAGCAGCCAGACAGCTATCTTGCCCTTTAGATACTTCAGACAGGAGTTAGGCACTTGTCAACTGTGTGTCCCAACTTTCATAGACACACCCCACGCTCACTGTATGATCCCACTGAAGCCTTCCTCACTAGACTTTTTCTACAGAGAAATCCGCTTTATGAATTCTCTCAACTCCACTCTTAATGCCTTTACATCCTTGATATGGGTGAGGAGTCTAAGAGCCCTCCACCCAGAGCTTAACTGTCCATCTGTGCAACTTCTCCTGGGTGGTATCCCTCGAAATTCATTTTTAAATCTGCCCCTTTCAGGAATGAAGAGGTAGAGAGGATAATTAAGGGGGAGGAAACATTCCAGAGGCTAATCCTGCCAATCTTAGGGCAGGATTGGGTGCTTCAGTTGAAAACAAACAAAACCAAAAGACAAAAAAAGAAAAAAACTTATTTAAATTATGTTAGCAATCAGGGAAAAAAATGACTGTTAAAACAAATGAATTACTGTAAGACCACGTGAAAGGAAAGTAGACTTTTTAGTACACATTTCTTTGAAGTAGAAGCAACTTTCCAAATTTCTATGAGTGAATTTCTTTTCTGACTCCACTGAAAGAAGACCAAACTTAAAGGGCATTTAAATGTGTTATACTTAAAACCCTATTAAATACAGTTTGGCAAAAGTGATGGCTTAGTAAATGTCCTTCTCAATCCCTTTTGTTTAGAGAATTACTTACAAAACTAGTCATTAATCCAACTTAAGCCAAAATAGAAAAAGAGTAGAAATTACTACAGTATAAACATTAAAGCCAAATATATAAGTAATATACTTAAAAGAATACTAAAATGTCAGTTATAGAAAAAAGTCTCATTAAATGTCCACCTATCAGAGAAAAATTCAAAAACGCACTCATTCATAACAGGTGCCCATTAAAGGCCCATTATGTCACAGCAAAGCACTGCGCTGGCCACGGATATGGATAAAAAAGATAACATAAACTCTTCAGTCTTAAGGTTCTTGTAATCTGGAGGATGCAGTAAGCACAATCTCTCTCTCTCTCACACACACACACATACATCAATATAATAATGCATGAGTCCACTGTTTCTCAAACTTTGACCTGTTTAAGACTCATGTGGATTTGCTTACTTAAAATGCTGCTTTATAGTCCCACCCTCAGAGATTCTGATTCTGAAAGTCTGGGTACAGTCCGAGCACCCTTGGAATTCAGAAGCAGAAATTCCATGAGCCCCATTTGCAGAAACACTGCATTATACAGAAGCTCCATGAAGGCAGAGGCCACGTCTGTCTTGTTCTCCACGATTATCCAGTATGTAGTATGTAGCCCAGTATGTAGTAAACCCTCAGGAAAAGACATCTGAATAAACAAATGAATGAGTCTAGCTAAGCTCCACTAAGAATGATACGAGCAAACTGTGACAGAAAAACTCAGCAACTTAAGCAGCTCCCCTCTCTCTTTAGGAAGCGGGTTCCCTTAGGTGAAGTCAGCCGATGCTAGAAATGACTCAGTGCACAGGGTTGCATTCTGAACTCATCCTCTCTGTGGAACGGGGACCGGGAGCCAAAAAAACGTGACCTGACTCTTCTCAGAGTTTGTGTCCCTCCCATTCACTGGTAGCATCTGGACCCCAAGGGCTGGCCCCTGTTCCTCTGAATAGAGTCACTGTTCCCTCCAAGAAAGACATATAACTCCACGAAGCCTATTCTGGCAGGCTGGAATTCTGCTGGTGCTGGACAGAATAGCTCCTCTATTGGGATTCCCACTACTGAAACGTAAAATTAATTATAGTTCTAATAGATGGAACATCAACACTGCAGCAGAATGAATGGAGCAAATAAGCAATTGATTCTTATCTATTTCTTTACAAAACTGAGTCACTGGCACAGATTTGCACTGAAACAACGATTATTACTTTAAAGTAACCTGGTAGATTTTCCTCAGGAAGTTGTGGAGCAACTTCAAACATGTAACAGCTACATTAATTTCAAAAATAGCTACCCGTAAATTAATTTTTATAGTAAAATAGACAAACTTAAAAGTAAAATCAAATATTTAGATGACTAAAAATATTGCAAATTTAAAAATATTCCAAGACTATCATTAGATTTGGAAAGAAAGGACTGGATAAGAAGGTAAGATGAGGTGGATAAAACAAGTGAAAGGGAGACACACATCGTGGTAAGGGAGGGGAGAGCTGTGACCAGCCGTTTGATTTCAGGTATGTCAGTGCAGGCAATGGAGGGCCAAGAGGCCTGGCCTGCTTCCATCCAGGGGGCTGGCCAAGGGAGGACAGGGACAAAGGACTAGAGACCACTGTTTAGGGACAGCAGATGGGACTGGCTCTGAAACTTTTGCAGAAGAGGTCTCAGAAAGGCAAGACGGTTGCACTGCAGTTGGAGGGCTGTGTGTTTGGGTCTGCCACAACAAGCAAGGGACCTTGAATAAGTCCCGTAGCTTTTTGTGTCCCCTCCATCAATTGAGATTTGGGGCTAAATGACCTTTCAGATTACTTCTAGCTCTAATTTTATGGCTCTGTGCAATCTTATTACCTAGGAAAAGAAGGATAGGGGAAAGGAAGAAAGGAGGAAGGGAAAGAAGTCCTCAGAAGGGGGAAAAACATGGACCAGAAAGAGGACCAAGTTACAATTCTGAGTCTTCTTTTAAAGGATGCAGGCCACCGGACACCCTATGGCAAGAAAAGAGGTAATATCCTCTCCAAACTTTCAGTAATTTACTTGGGATAAGAAGCTTGCATCCAGGAAAATTAACATTTTGTGATGTGGAAAAGTCCATTTTCTTATAATAATTTTGCTCTGATTTCAAGAGGTTCTGTGTTGTCATGTAGGACAGATATAAAACCTCAACTAGCTCCCTAAAGAGATCTAATCTGCCTTGGAGTACAGTCGTATGACATTTTACTTTGAAGTTTGAATTCTAATTTGCAATCTTCTACTACCATCCTTTTAGAAAAATGTAAGGTACATACATATCATAAAATATGTTTTAAATATATATTATATAAATTGTATATTATGTATTTTAAATAAATATAAAGATAAAAATATACACACAGATACAAAAATATCAAAATACATAAACACAGATATGTATGTCTATATACATAGGCATGAATATACATAGATGTATGTATGTGTATACATAGATGGACATACACATACATACACCTATGTGTATATATATGTGTGTGTATTTATAGCCCAGTTTCAATGTAGGTGTGACAAACATTAATGTGGTCAGACAACTTCTTCAGTGCTTCAGAAATTTTCCCAAGAGTAGAGCCCTCAGAGACAAAGGACAGAACACTGGACTGCGCGCGCAGCTCTAACATCTCTGGTGCTCTCCTGAAGTCCCCAGGCTCTGTGACAGCCATTCTGACTCTGATGCCAGTGCTAATTCCTGCCGTCCAGGCACTGACCTCTCTTTGACATTTAATTTGCCTGTTATCCATTGTGTCTTCTCTACATTTTAAGCCATGCGGCCATATAATGTTAATGAACATTAGATTGAGTAACCAAAACGCAGTGTCTACAGTGGAAGAGCCACGTGAGAAGTTCCATTTCATTTAGTGGCAAGAAAGGGGGATGTGTTAGAAATAGAGACTCCCGGGGAGGAAGAACTTCCCAATTATTCAACTTACTGCTGCTAAAGCCAGGATCATTTGCTTTTTACTTAAGGAAAGGAATTATTAAATATAGAGAAAAACAGACATTCAGCAGTATCTTATGGTCAAATCCTAATTTACCTGTACAATAGGAGAAAGGAGACTCTGATATGATGGGTTCTTTGGGATGTCCAATTAGTTTCTACAGATTCTGAAACGCTGCACTGAAAAAGTTGTCTGACCACATTAATGTCTGTCACACCTACACTGAAACTGGACTATAAATACACACATATATATATACACATAGGTGTATGTATGTGTATTACCAAAGGTAGCTACACTTGTTTTTGTAATTAAGAATTAAATTATGATTTTATAGAGATCTATAGGGGATATTTTCAAAGAGTATTGGAAATGGCAGTTTTCACAGTATTTTCTATTTAGAAAAATAACACAGTCTGCCAGGAATGTGCCTTTCTTCAGGAATAAGAACAGGGATATGGAAGATAAAGTTCATCCTGAATTTTAGCTTTATTGATTAACTTATTTTCAGAATATTTTTCTTTATTAAAAATCCATCCATTTTAATCTTTAGGACAATGGAAATCAAAACATAGAGTCACATACCTGTGTCTGTTTAGGACCAATATCCATTCTTTCTAGAAGATCATTTAAAAAATCTGTAACACTTTCCCAGGGGTAAATACTGTTGGAACCATCCAGCACTATGACTATGTCCAGCTGAGTGCTGCATTCTGCAAGAGGAAGAGTTAACTGTGCAAATTTGAAGTCTCTCTTTAGAGGTATATGAACTGTTTTCGTGGCTGAAAGAAGCTCATTTTAAAGATGAGTTCATGTTCTACAGAGTGGACACATTACTTTTATAATCAGAAAAAAAAGTTCTATATTAAGTAAAGGTGATAAGAAATACTGTATTCAGTAACAATTGGTTTGGGATTAGTATCAAGTAAAACCCATCTCTACTTAATTTTAATGAACGTTGTATGAGTTATCTCTGGAAATTTTCTCAGTATGACTTCTCTGTGAGTTCTCATTCTGTGTATATTTCAAATGACGTTACTTTCCTCAAAGAAAATCATCCTTTAAATAAAAGCAATGTGACAGCTTTAGCTATGATGTTTAAACATGACTCTGTAAAGGTTATTTACACTAATATCAATTCCAAAAATAGTAGGGAGGTTTGGTTATATATTGGCAAAGCAAACGCTTACCTAAATTGGTAATGCTGGTAGCCGAGAAAATATTTCAAGCTTTTTGGTATGCTCCTGTGTATACATATGTCTCATTCATTGCTTATGCTTTTCAAACACTGTAAGAACATTGCATAAAATCCATACCTTGTACAGGGGCAATGGAGCTCACAACTTGAAATGTGGGGCTGACATCAGAACAGATTCCAGTTGTGTAATGCACATGTCCACATCTATAGGCATATAAGGGCCCACATGCCTTTTAAAAATTAAAAAAAGTAAAACCGTTAGATTAAAAATTATATAATAAATTTTATAAAGATTTATAATCATAGAATTCTTGGTTCATTAACTATGTTACTCTTTCTTTTCTTACCAGAAACCCTCCTTTTGGGTTGGTGACTAAAGTAGATCCAAATGTCATGTTCTCCTTTACTTCTGTGACATTGGGAATTGATGTATTAACTAAAAATAGAACAAACTTTTATAAGGGTGGAAAACAAAGTAAAATGAAGTGTCATCTTATTAAAACATTCTGTTTGCTTTGCTCATATCATAGCACATTCTTTGGTTCAACTAAAAAGTCTCCAAAGTATTATTAGGGAATATAATAAACAAATTAAGGCTGAAAACCTGGCTTTTGTCTCAGAAACTTTGTCTGGATCACTGCCTCAAAGAGTTTTGCTGATCTGTAAAAGAATGCACAGCTATCAGGGCAATGAGAATGCGGGATAGCCTTTTGCACATTTTTTGCTACACATTAAAATATATAAAATGTTTAGTCTCATAATACTGTAGATATAAAGTAAACTTATACATTTACTTACATGATATGCATACATGTTAGAAATGACCAATGGTGAAACATGATCTCTGAGAAGAAGGAAAATGGGGAGAAGACCAGAAAAAGAAAACTCAAACACAAGATTTTGATGGTTAATTTCACCTTCATAGGGACATCATAAGAGTTACAAAGAAAACTGGAGCAAGATTAGAACAGCAGTCAGGAAGTTTAGATAAAAGAACACATGAAGGGACTACATTTGACATTACTAATAAGAATGTTGGGCGCTACAGCATGCCAACCTGGCAAAAAGAAGTTCCACTTCCTCACATTAAAAAAGAAAACAAAAATTGGACAGGAAAAGCAAAAGCTTCTGAAGTCTGCTTCGTGGAGCGTTAACATATTTGAAAGCGGCAAAACTCTAGTTCAAGAAAGATTTGTCTCTGTCTCCATGCCTAGAAATTTTTCTTACCATAAAATTACACATAGATACAAAGTGGGGAATGGAGACAGAGATTCCTGAACAGTCACAATGGCACCTTACTCTGATTAGAGATACCTGGGTTGACCAGGTTTATACCTGGGTTGACCCAGGGTGAGCATTCCTGGCACGTTAACAACTACAGCGGAAACCGCCCTCTTGTTCTTGATGCAGCTAAAATCTCCATGCTAATGTTAAAGCTCTCTTCCAGTTTCCAGTAATGGAGGAGCAGCTCCTGTCAGAAGAACTCTTTTGCAAATAACAACTATAAACTCTGGGAAAGGGGGAAAAAGTATGTATGAAACAGCCATCTGAAGGTACCAGAAAGCAACAAAAAGCAGGCTGAAACTGGAGAGCAGTCTGTACTCGTAAGAAGATATTAGCACTGGATGAGTTTCCTGTTTTTTGTGTTTGTTTGTCTGCCCCTAAGGGAAGGCCTGAGTCAGTGGCTAAACCCCAACTAGACGCACAGTTTTCCTGTCTGGAAGAAATAGAGAATGGGAAATGGGGCAGTGACAGCAATGCAGAGTGAAAGCGGGTATCTTGGAACACTGAGCTCCAAAGGGAGAGCTCAAATATGTACATATATGTTCTTCCCAAATATTTGAATGACCTGAACTGTGCATATGCAGGGCAAACTTCAAACAGCCCAGCTAAACATCAGAAGAAATGAATAAATATTTTAACTGCTTTCCACGGCAGTTTGGAAATTGACTTCAGCCAAGTAAATTGCCTGCAAAAACAAAAAGTTAAGACTTTTTGAAGGCACGTTAACAGATTGAGAATCTCCACACTTCTAACTCAAGGGTTTAATCTAGGATACAATCCAAAATTACTAAACATAAGAAGAAACAGGAAAATGTAACCCAACCTAAGAGAAAGGGAATAAGTGGAAAGTGACGTTGAGATATTCCACATGTTGGAATTATCAGGCAAAGATATTAAAGCAGCTATTATAACTATGCTCATGAATGTAAAGGAAAAATGTTCATGACAAACAAATAGGAAATTGAAACTGAAAAATACAATATCTTAAATAAACCTGCAGAGGATGAGTCATTTCCATGGTTCTTAATATTTTAGAGAACACTGACAGGGTTCTAATTTCCAGAGAGTTCTAGTAGGAATTTTCTAGTCATGTTCTAACTACAGTGATATTTCCATCAAATATATATATACTTCAGTATAAATTTATCTTGTGGTAGTCTCCTTTTAAAAACTAAGTTTCTCTATTACAATTCCTCTTGTACTACTCTCTCTAAAAAAAAAACATTAAGGTAAATTTTGTGGAGGAAATGTGATGGTTTATTTGGAAAAGTTCTTTTATGTTACCACTGGCTTATAAAGGATTCTGAATAATCGAGGCAGTTACAAGTCATAAAACTAGGAAGACCTTCTAAGTCTACAGATATCCTATGATGAATTTCTAAAGCAGATGAAGGACAGAAGGAACCAAAACATCACTTTATGTAAACTTGAATGATAAGAACTGAAGAGCGTTTATAGACCACTTCCAATATGTTCTTGAGATGGCTGAAATTTACTTTCAGTGAGAATATCGGGCATAATTTAGGATCAGACTTTGACATTTTGACTTTACACACCTGGTAGATCCAACTTCATGCAAGGTAATGATTCACCTCTCCCAACTGGACACTTATAGACATCTCCAGTCCTCTTCTTGGGTTGGCCAACTAAAGGAGAACCAATAAGCACCCTGGAAGTTAAATAACTCAATTAACATTTCTGAATAATGAGAGAAATTTTATTTTAGTTACTTATGACTAGTTCTAAGACTGCTGACAGTAGTTCCCAGAGACGTAATTAGATAGTCATCCTCAGTTAGTAATTTAATGTTATCTAAAATAAGCAAAGTGTCTTATCCAAATTGCAGATTGATTTAAATTAAAAAAAATGTGTAGGAGAGAGATCTGATGGTTTTTTATTTTATTCTATTATGTGTTACTTTAATATATTTTTTAAATTTGGAGACTGAAATCATAGTTATTGGTTAAACCTGCTGCTGTGTTAGTTACAACACACATGGAAGTGTAAATGACTTTTTCCCATGAGGAACTAATAATTTCACACAGAAGTTAGGAAATATAAACATTAAATCATAAGATTTAATATTAGTATATGTTAGTTTGTAAGCGCTTAGAAAATAAGGAGAGTTACAAGACTCAGGTTAAAATCACTTATTGTCTTTCTGGGCAGAATTATAAAATCCCTCTAATAATAATTAATGAAAAAAATATATAGTCACAATTTATTTCAGTCCTAGCAAGCCATTTAACAAGGTTTCCTATGATATCTTCAGGAACACTTCAGGCTGAGTGTTAAGTTACTTGGGGGATCCACAGCTGCTGATTCACTGCTGTCTAAATACCTATATCCAAAGGCACCGATTGCTAGCCACCAAAGGATTCTAACTATGTACCATAAGACTCACTTGGGATTGGCTTAGCATCTATCTTTATTAATGACTTGAAAGAGCTATAGAAAGCTTAAAGGTACTTACCCATCAAGTAAATCAGTATACCTATTTGGGCATTCAGAAGTGTCTTTACATTCTGGAACAAGAAACCTAAACTAAAGTTTAATAATAACCTATGCAAATAACTTCACTTAACTGCATACGATTATCTACATCATTACAGAATGTGGGAAACCTGACTTAATAGGAGTTCATGTGAAAAAGTCATGGAGGATTTAGTTGACAGCAAGCAAATGTGAGCCAAGAGTGAATTTTAGTGCCAAAATGCTAATGTGACCTTTGGCTGCATTGCTAGAAATAGATGCCCTGGTCAAGGAAAGTGATAGCCCCTCTGTGTTCTGAGCTGTCAGGCCATGTCTGGAATCTCCAAATTAAGAGGGACATGGGCACAATGGAATGTGGAGGAGGCTATGACTCAGATAGTTAAGAGCCTGCTAATTTTTTCACACCAGAGATGTTCGAGGGAAAGTTGGGGATGTCTAGCATGGAGAAAAAAATAAATCTAAAGGAGAGTTGAAAGGTTGTAAAGGAGTGCAGGTGAATCAGGCATGCCTTTCTAAAACTTTTAAAATTTGAAAGTTTGTCATATTGAAATGGGATGGAATTTATTTTGTGTAAGTCATTTGGGCAAAGCTAGTATTAATGGACATGTTTTATAACAGTTGCAAATATCAACTTGAACAGACTCCCTAAAACATAAGTGTGATATAATGCCTTTGCAAAGCCATTTCTGATATCCATAAATAACTATAAAAATGTTCAAACCCTTCAATGCATAATTTTTAATTCTGGGAATCTATCCTAAAAATGACCTAAATTAAAGGAAACAAGCTTAATGCATAAAGATAATGCTTATAGTGGTATATATAATAATGAAAGATTAAAATAAATGTGATCAACAGTAAAACTAATTAATTATTGTAGGGTAATTTTATAGAATATTGCACAGCCATAAAAAACAATAGTTAATAAGATTGCATGATAGGATTAAAAATTATGACCTAATTTAAGGTAAAAAACCTACCTAATTTATTGAAAACCTATTACAATTTGAAGTGAAAGATGCCAAATTATATTCAATGTACTTATTATAATAGCAATGATAATAATAGACAGGATTTACTGAATTTATACCATATACAGGAGACAGTTCTAAGTGCTTTCCAGGTACTAAGTAATTTAATCCTCTCCATAAAATACAGCATGAACTCTGTGCCAGATTTGGTGAGTTCAAATCATGGTTTTACTTTACTTAGCTATACGGTTTAGTAGTAGCCAATTATCTTAAGTGCCTTAGTTCCTTCCTCTGTAAAACAGAAATAATAAGAATAATTACCTGACATGATCATCATGAACATTAAATGAGTTAAAACAGTATTTGGCTCATAGCATGTGCTAAGTGTTGGTTCTTTTTATTATTTTTTTTTCAGATGATGGAACAACTGTATCTACGTAAAACATAGATTTAAAGAGAGTACACCAAAAAAAAATTGTATTAATGAAGTTATGGTTAGGCTTTAGGGTTTTTTTTTCCCCCAATATTTTCAAAACCTTTTGTAATGTGATTGATTAAACTAGTTTTATAGTTAAAACAGTTTGGAGAAAAGTAACGAATGTGTTATGGAAAGCATTTAAGTTGAGGCTAGATAGATTGATTAATGTTTATTAAGGACATCCTACATTCTCAGCATTAATGCCAGGCCCTAGGAATATAAAATGGATAACCAACTTTCTTCTGTCTAGCATAGGGAACTATATTCAACATCTTGCAATAACCTTTAATGAAAAAGAGTATGAAAACAAATATATGTATATATATTCATGACATTATGCTGTATACCAGAAATTGACACATTGTAACTGAGTATACTTCAGTAAAAAAAAATAAAATGGATAAAACAATTTTTTAGATTGCTTATAACTCAAGGAAGAAGGAAAAATACAAACGTATTACACAATACTGAATAAGTCTGAACTTGGTGCAACTTCAGCAAAGTCTTAGAAGCAAGAAGGGACACAGCCTGCTCTTTTGATACGTTCAAGTAGCTCAGTGTAGCTGGAGTAGAACTTGAACCTGGCGAGGTAAATAGGGTCCAGATTATACACGTTCTTATTGTCCACTTAAGAAACATGGATCTATTATATGGAGGGGAGAGATGGGAACTATTTGAAGCTTTTAAAGAGATATGTGACATGATCAACTCTGACTTATAAAACTTTTTTACTCATAGTGTCATGAATAAATTGGGAAAAGGGGAAAATTAGACTCAGAGAGTGAAGGGAGGCATTCCTAAAGTAATCCAGATAAGAAAGGAGCATCTGAATTAAGGAAGTAGAAAAGAAGGGATAACCAATTCCAGAAATGTTTAAATATAAGCTGTCTTTGCTTGGATGCCCCCCAAAGCAGACTGCTCCATATAGATTTTGGGGAGGCAGTTCCAAGTATGCACAAATGTGGAGGCAGGGGAAATGACAGAAGGAAGAAACGCCAATAAAGAGTGCATTGATAAGGGTTACTTCTGCAGGCTTCTGGGCCCAGTCTTGCTGGGGAACATCTCAAAAACTGCATGGAACACACATGAGCATGCTGTGAGCATGGCTGAAGCCCAAGAGTGAATACCACCAACTCAAGAGCATGCAGAGAAGAAGACAGCCAACGGCTGACACCCAGGGGAAAAGAGCACAAGATTTTGATGAGTGAAGGAAGGAAATTGGTGGGAGTGATGAGAGAGGGAAAGGGAGAATCAGAAAACAGTGATGTCACAGGAGCCAGAGAAGGAAAGGGTATCAAGAATGAGAGCCGTGGGAATTGAACAGACTTCATTTTAAGTAACTTGGCTGAAAACGGAGAAGATTTGGCTTTTCCCAGCAAACCATTAAGGGCTTGAGGCAGATTTAAATTGCTTATGGGGGAAACCTGGATAGTGTAAAATAATGGTTAAGAAGAACCAGTAACAGGGGAAAGGCTGATGTCCCAGAAGAGTAAGTAGAATTCCCTGAGTGGGTAGAAGGACAATTGTATCTCTGAAATGAGGAAAGCCCACTGGTTCCCCAGGCAGGGCTCTGGATGGTCCAGTATCCAGAGGCTTGTAAGTGTGGTTGCTGGTCTGGAATTTTGTGCACCAGTGTGATGTGACATTGTCCCTCATTGTCCTTTATTGAGTTAGAATCTATTTTTCCTCCTGTTGAAAATGAGATTTGCTTCATAAATAGAATGCAGCAGATATAATATGGTGACTTCTGAGGTGAGGCCTTGCAGGTTCCATTTCTTCTTCCTTCCTTCCTTCCTTCTTTCCTTCCTTTCTTCCTTCCTCCCTCTCTCCCTCCTTTTCTTCCTTCCTTCTTTAGAAAACAGTGGCTCTAGTCATCTAGTGAGATTTAGGGGAAGAGGTAGCAGTGCGGCAGGCTTGTGGAGAGTAATGACTATTTAAACTAACAAGGCATACACAGGCTGAACACACAACCCCTCAGGTTAAGATGAAGTACGTTACAGCTGGCCAGGGACATTTTGGAGGATGTTTCTACTGTAGATGTAAGACAGGCCTCCAAAGACCCTTCCAATTCTAAGATTCCATCATCTGAATACAACAAACTGTAAGTGAGTAGAAGAGTACTAATTAGCTGGGGGATATAAATCATTGGGGAAAATCTGTCACAGTCTATAACAAGTGAGTCCTGAACAGCACGTTAATAGTAAAGTTATTGTGAGTTATAAGGCAGAAGGGAAGAGAGATTATGGCTAGCCCAGACAAAAATGTGGAAACAGGAGCACGAGGGCTGAAAGTAGAGGTGACAAGGAAGTATGGGTGACTGGAACACAGCGTAAAGCTTCTGGATAACCTGGAGCAGGAAGGTTGAGATTGGCAAGTAGTGAACTTTGGAGGAAAGGGTCTAGGGTTTATATTTGAACTCCAGGGCAACACAAAACCCTGAGAGTATGGTAATCATTGGAAATAACCTGATACAGAACTAGAACCATGGCCTATTGTGTAATCTGGATAAGTAAAGACTGATGAGAACACAGAAGATGGTAGACTGTAGCAGGCCAGGACTGAGACAAGGAGTTTGAGATTAGGGATCAATGGTGAAGAATGGGTTAGCAGGCCACAGGACATAAAACAATTTTGTGTATTTTCCTAGGAGCTATTTGTTCTGACATCAAACACGCAGCTCTGGAAAGAACATATATCTCACCACTTAATCCTCAGAAAGTCTCATTT